GTAGTATAGATTGGAGGATATCTTTACTCTTTTGTCACAAGCAGTCTGTCACAATCTCATGACAGGAAACTGCATACTGCAGGTCAGTATTCTTTAGTATTTTTTTTAGTATTTCTTGTTTCCTTTTAAAACACAGTTTATAAAACAGTTCAAACTATATAACACTTTTCCTCCTACCTCTAACAATAAGGAAGGTTTTGTTGCTTGTTTAATACTGGGACTAATAGCAGTCACCCTGCTGGAACAGGTAATGATGTCATTAGTATTATAGTGGCGCCTTAAAGCAAACGCCAAGATTTCAGTTTAATACAGCAGGATTAGCTTTAAAAGCTGGTCTTCTCCACTGGTTTTAGGCTTTTACGACAGCGCTTGCTACACAGCAGGGGGACTAATCTGGCATGATCAGATAAGTTGCGACACATTGCAGCTGTTGCAGTGACTGCACGTGTGCAGACGTGTGGAAAAAGATGGCCCACACTACTTCCAAACTAAGATTTAACACATCAGGACTTGCTTTGTGCGCACAGGACCTGGACAGGAACAGAACCAACCACCCACTTCTCTGCAGGCTCTTTGTCTCCCAGCTAAAACTGTGCTCTAACTCAGTCAACAGGAGAATGATCCCGAGCCCAGCAGCAAATCTACAACAGAACGACTTGAAAAGGAAATAATTAAGATGTTGCAATGGAAAAGTCAAAGTCCAGGCCTCAATCCAAAATCTTGCAGGGGGGGGGGGGGTAGGTTTGCCTAAATTAATCCTGAAACCCTAAATGAACCGAAGAGGCACCGACCAAAGATTTAGAGAATATATTGTTCCACGCTTTCTATCACAATAAAGAATAAAATTGCATGCTTTAAAATAGTTTAAGAACAATACTGAAAACCTGAAACCCAATGTGGGGTTGTGCTTGTCCTCCAGCATTACTGGAATCTGCACAGATGTCATTTGTTGCAAAGCAGCTGCTATTTTGTCCGTAGGCCTGTGGCTGTGACTCAGAAGTCTCACAGGTGTGATAAACCCAACCTGCTCACTGAAATAAACGGCTGAGGCCTCTGGTTCCTCTTTCATGTGCTATTGTGAATGCTTTGATGTTGCACTGCTCAGCCCCACCATGGGATTCGTGTCCTATGGTTTTACAGATTTTGAGAGTATAAAACATACAAGTAATCCATATTTACAAATTAGTTTATTATACAGTAAAAACACATATCTTACGTTTAAAGAAAAATCAGTAATTGAGTCATTATGTCTGTGGGTTTATGCATAAAGTGTCAAAACAGAAAGTAACACACATGGTTGATTCTGACATATATATTGTCTTACACAAAATGATGATTGAAATGTAGTCTTGATAAGAAAACACACATGAATATGACTTTGTTCATGTTGATAATGCACAGTCTGGGTGGTGCCCGAGCTCAGCCAGGGGGACAGAGAACTCTGAGTTCCAGTCTCTCTCAAAGACCTCCTTCAGCTGGCCATGCAGGGTCCTGTTCTTCCTCTCGGGATGAGGAGCGTGCTGGGAAATCACCAGACCAACACCAGCTGTGGTCAGAAAGTAGTCCCCCGCCCAGTTGGATGTACCTGGGTTATGAAACAGCATCGTCCAATCAGTGATTAACCCAGCTGGACTTACAAAAGGCACGGATGCCCTCAACCCAAGCTTCTCATGATCATTACTAACTACAAAAACTCACCGATGTACGCCACCTTATCCGTCACCATGTATTTGTTATGGTTGACCCTAGAGAATGGAATGTCGGACATGTTTCCCACAGGGATGATGTACAGTTTCTGTAAAAACAAACCAGAAAAGCACAACATGGTAAGAAGAGGAGATCCTGTGGGAGTTCAGAGGAGGCCTTTCTCTTGTGGGGTCTTACTATTTGGACGTGCAGATGATGCTGAGGTGAATCTATTGAAGCCAGAGACTGCAGAAAAGGCAGCATGCCCGGACTCGAGTCCCGCCCGCAGCTGATCAGCATCCGGATCTTGACCCTCTTCTCATATGCGACCCTCCTGATGGCATCGTCGATGAACGGCCAGTATCTGTAAGGATCCCGGTCAGAACACCAAACTAAAGAGGTGTCGTAGAGGGAAAGAAAGGCAGCTTCTTGTTAGCGTCACCTGTGAGGGTGCTCAAAACAGGTGGTGGGGAAGTACTCCATGACGGCCACGTCCACAAAGCGCTGCGCCTCCGAGATGCTGGAGAGAATCGCCTCCAGGTCCTGAGTCCTCGACGGAGGACAGAAGGACGGCGGGGACGCCTGAGGTAGGACACGGATGACAGAAACAGATCTGAAATATGAGACTTTTCCTTCGGTGGCCCTCTGTGTGAAGAGAAAAACACAGCAGCACTCGGCAGTAAAAGAGAAGTGTCTCACAGTCAGGTACAAACTGCTGGAGACGTTGTCCTCCTTCACCAGCAGAGGGTGGCGTTTGTTGATGGTGGAGTCGAACTGGGCGGGCCAGGGCTGCGGCAGGGAGCTGTTGGGTTCCCCCATCACCCAGTAAGACTGAAACACCTTTAAGAGGTCCTTCGCTAAGGCGCTGCAGTTGTAAACCACCACTCCAAGTTCCTTCACCTGCAGCCAAAAGACCAAAGGTGGAATTAACTGTTTGTTTTTGGAATGGGAAGATAACCCCCCGAGGAGTGGATCAGTTTGGGCCTTCACCTGCGTTAAAGCCCTCCAGTCCATGTTGGCGCTCCCAACAAACACGTGCTTCCTGTCAACGATCCAGAACTTGCTGTGGAGGACGCCATTCGCCAGTCGCCCGAAATTCACCCGCCTCACCTGAACCCCTGCAGACACCCGGCGTCAGAACGGCCGCCGCCAAACAAATGGATGGACAGCGTGTGAACAGGAGACTCGGTTCCAAACCCTTCTGTTTCAGGATCTTCAGATCGGTGGAGTTGGTCCTGACGCTGGGAACGCTGGTCACCACTCGGACGGAGACGTTCCTGGAGGGCAGCTCTCCGAGTCCCTCCAGGATTTCTCTGCCCTGCATGGACAGACAAGATGTATGAGCTGTTCTTTTTTTTAAAGACTTCTGCAGGCTGCAAACCCACAGACACATAGTGGTTTTGGGTGACATTAGCCAGGCTCTCAGAAGGTTTTTCATTGACAAAATAGTTCTCATCTTAGGATTTTTGTCTTTGTCTTGTCTCTGTTTTCATTAAAGTCATATGACACTGATATGTTAGTCACCTGATCAGAAATTCAGAAAGAACAACCTTTAATTAATAATATATAAAGAAATGAGAAGACTTCTGCACCCTAATGTCTTCAACAACACAATAGATGAGGATAAACTTCTTTTAAGACATGAGATGTGGAGCAAACCATTTAGATGGTATGCAAAAAGTATTTGGAACGGTGTAAAAAAAAAGAAAAAATGTAAAAAACTGCATGTATGTTTATGTGACACTCACAAAACTGTCAGAGGAAGAATTGACGTTGATGTCGTCGCCTGTTAACGTCCAATAGAAAGAAGCCACTTCCACGTGATCCGTTGCCCTGGAGATGAGGTCCATCCAGACTTCAGCCAGCGGGACCCCAAACGTGGCGTTAGCCCCATATTCCAGCTGCTGGGGGATGCTCTCCACCAGGGCCATGCTGGGGGACAGAAACAGACCCAAGAGGGCCACGTCTCAGCGGGCCTGGAGGCGGAGCTCCGAGGGCCCAGAGGCGGAGCTCCGAGGGCCCAGAG